TGGTCCCAGCTACTTGGGAGGCTGAGGCAGGAGACTCACTTGAGCCCAGGAGTTGGAGATTGCTGTGAGCTGTGATGCCACGGCACTCTACCCGGGGCAGGGGGGGCAGCTTGAGGCTCTGTCTCAAAAAAAAAAAAGAAGATCCCATGAACCCAAGAGTTTGAAGTTGCTGTGAGCTATGGTGACACTGCCGCACTCTACTCAGGGCAACAGAATAAGACTCTGTCTCCAAATAAATAATTGAATAATTAATTTTATAAATAAAATTAAAAATACATGTACACTAGTATTTCACCAAACAATGAACACTATAGTCTAGCCAAGTTAATGCATAAAATTAACTGTCACAACCACTTATGAATTCTTGGGAGGCAGTTGCCTGGTCTCTTGAGTCTCTGTCTTCTTACCTGTTAAAATGGGATGCCTCATAGAGTTCTCGAAAGGATTAAATAACAATGCACATCAAGACTGGTACCTCAAAAAAAAAGAGGACAATTATTATATTTCTTTAAATATGAGAAAGTGCATCATGGCTTGGTGCCCATAGCAAAGTGCTTACAGCACCAGCCACATATGCCAAGGGTGGCAGGTTCAAACCCAGCCTGGGCCATCAGCAACAAAAAATAGCCAGGCGTTGTGGCAGGTGCCTGTAGTCCCAGCTACTTGGGAGGCTGAGGCAAGAGAATTACTTAAACCCAAGAGTTTGAGGTTGCTGTGAGCTGTGATACCACAGCAGTCTACCGAGGGCAACATAATAAGACTTTGTTTCAAAAGAAAAAAAAAGCGCATCATTATTTTGTGTACCAATAAGAAGTTTACACCTATAGGCCCAACTACTTGGGAGGCTGAGGCAGGAGGTTCACTTGACCCCAGGAATTTGAGGTTGCTGTGAGCTATGACAACACCATGGCACTCTAGCCTGAGCAATAGAATGAGATTCTGTCTCAAAAAAAAAAAAAAAAAAAAACCAACAAGCATGGTGGCTTGTATCTGTAATCCTAGTACTTTGGAAGGCTGAGGTAATAATATTGCTTGAAGCCAGGAGTTAAGAAGCCAGCCTGAGCAAGAGAGATACCACATCACCTGCTGTGGAGGGAGCCCATAGTCTCACCTACTTGGGAGGCTGAAACAGGAGGATAGCTTGAGCCTGGAAGTTTCAGGTTGCCCTGAGCTATGATGATACCACTGCTCTCTAGCCTGGGCAACAGAGGGAGACCCTGTCTCAGGAAAAAAAAAAAAAGTGAAAGTATGTGTATGATAGAATTGATAGGATTATGAAAAATTTCAGATTCCTACTTCTCTGTGAAGGGGATCTCTCTCAGGACCTCTGCTGTCCTCTCCCCACCCAGTTTCCTGCAGGAGAAAAACCCCAGGGAGCTGGTGTCAGTGTGGGGCAGAGCTATTTGCTAAGCACAGATGCCTTCAATTAGGGTGGGGAAAAATAGGGATATGTGCTCAGGGCATGAGGCTGAAGCCCAGATCCAGGAGGGTATTTGTGAACCATGTCCATTAGCAGGTGGGGGCTGTAGGCAGCACTCACCATCTGCTGTGTGCAAGGCCAAGCGAGGCAGGAGGCTCTGGGATTTGGAGGTTCAGAGACAAGGCAAGTCTTG